AAGCCTGTCCTAAGCAGCAAAGCGCTCAGGCGGTGCACGCTTCTGCTGCTGGCCCCTGCTCGGCTCAGCGGTCTGAGCGTGGCTGCTCCGCCGGACATCACCCGAGCATCCCGGGTCGTCGGTTCCTCCGAGGCTGGGAAAACGCCTGGGGAAAGTTTTGCAAAACCAAACTGGAAAAGAGTTTTGACACAGAGCACCCGAATTTTGCAAGAGCACCCGAATTTTGCAAGGCAGTTAATGTTTTATCCGAAGATTTCTGAATGGCTTTTGTTGTTACTGCTCCTGGCAACACTGGCAGAGCTCGCTTTTCAGAAGCGGCAACGCAACACACACACACACAAACAGTGCAGATGAGTGTTAAAAGCTGGAGTTACGTTTCAGGCAGACCTTAATTCTTTAAAATTCTGGTTTCATTCTTAAACTATTGATGCTGCACTTTGCTCTTAAATGTCAGAACAAAATAAGTAATACCTGCAATTTATTCAGATGACATTTCAACAATACGAGATTTTCAGATTACAAACTACAGCCCCATGTTTCTTACGGTGTTACGCTGAATGTGTAGCTTTTGTGGATTTACATAATGGCTTTGTATAATGAATATTTATATAATGAAAGCATTTACATAATGACTGCAAGTTAAACATGCACAATAAAGATTCCAGGCCAATAATTTATGTACTAAGTTAAAAATCACCTCTAAATACATTTTATTTTTATTCCTACGAAAGGTTCATTTTATCTGTTGTTCAAAAAAATTGAATCCGACCTCATCCAAGTAAAGGCTGCATTGATGCAAATCATGATAATATTTTGGAATTAGTCTACATTGAATCATTTGTATTCAGAGATTTCAGTTTCTTATCTTTTAGTAGCAGCTTTGACAAACAACTTCAGAATATTCTAAATATGATTCATTAATATAATTTAGTGTTGTATTCTAGATGTGATGCTTGCATGTAAGCCTCATTAGTGCCACTGGGAATTACAGGAGAAAACTGGTAGAAATTATAAAGTGCAGATGAAGTTTATGTTTAGATAAAGGTAATTTGCTGCAGAGAGAATATAAGCCGTTACAGAAATCTGGAGTTTTCAACTCTCTTGCATTTTGTTTTCTAATAAATCCAGGCTTCTTGTTTGCTAGACTGATATTTAATTGGATTTGAGTGCCATTTATAACAGTCTGTACACCAGAACATATACCTGAGCACAGGAGTGGTACTGTGTTACTGAAATGGAAAAATTCTTCTTTATGTGGTAGACTAGCGGACAGAATATGTTCTGTAAATTATATGTCTGCTTCCAAACCATTTTAGAAGATTTCTGAGAAAAAGTTATTTGGATCTTGTGTTCTCCCACTCCGGACAGAGTTCTGTCCGTAAATCAACCAGGGGACACCCAAGGCACGTCCCAGTGCTCTGCAACGGCTGCATCAGCGCTCACCTCTTGGAAGAAATGGGTTTTGTAACGATGCAGCCCTGTAACGCAGCATTTGCAATGAGTTTGCCAGGCCTCAGCACTGAGGCTCGTCAGAGCGTCTCTGCCTGCACTTGTCCGCCCTGCCTGCAGCTTTGTCGTGCCTGCTTCGGCTGGGGCAGCGTTTCCTCCATCCGAGCAGGCATCCCTGCCTAATCTGTTTTACCTTTGCCTTTCTGTGGTACAGCCACGGTTTTATAGAGCCAGCGGTAGCGAGACGTGATTCTGTGCGTAATGAGGTTTTTATGACTGTGACACAACGATGCGATGCAGAGAAACACAAGCTGGTGTGGGAGCAGGGGCTTGAGAAGCGGGGACACAGGACACGGTGCAGAGGAGGGCAGGCACGGGGTGGAGAGAGGTGGGCAGGGACTGCCACGGCTATGAGCAGCTCACCCACGGTCCATTACAGAAATGCAGATTTGGAGCTGGACAAAGTGGTCTTTAGGGGTATCGGAGAACAAAGGAATGATATCAGGCATACGTAGAAGGCACCACATACAGTAAATTAGGATGAAACATGGAGCTGCAGAGCAATGAAGAAAGAGCAAAGGAGTAAAAGCATGCTAGCGAACACTTCAAAATGACCCCGAAAAGCTCCTAAATGGAGGAAGAAGAAACCACCAACATGAACATCACATTCCTCCCCCTGAAGGATCCTGGGTGCTGACAACTCGCCAAAACAGCCCCCAGCAGAATGAAGCCACCAACCTTCAGCCCCCACAGGAGGGGGCTGAATCAGGAGAAGGGATAGAAACTAAGTCTGTCTCTAAAAACTTTAACTGCATCAGTATTTTTTCTGTTTTGGTAAGTCATAAATCACAGAATGGTTTGGGTTGGAAGGGACCTTCAAAGATCATCTAGTCCAGCCCCCCTGCCATGGGCAGGGAATATTAGATCTAGGCTAATAATGATCCCTGAATTAGAAGTTCAGATATACATATATAAACCAAGCCTTTATTGTCATTGTATCAGGTGTACCTCCTCCTTGCCCGTAAACAAGCTTGAGCAGTTCACGAGCAGCAGTGTAAGTGCCTCTGGAGGTGAAGTGGACCAGTCATGCCGTGAGAAGATGCTTCCAGTGCCACCCCAGACAGCAAGCCTGCGGTAGGTGCACATCCCGGTGGTTGTACAATGAATTATGCATGCAGGTACTGAGGGCCCCCCCCGGACTAGAGAGACATGGACATGCTGGAAGGAGCCCAGCGGAGGGCCATGGGGGTGATGAAGGGACCACAGTACCTGAACCGGAGAGCAGCTGAGGGAGGTGGGCTCTCAGCCTGGGAAGAGAGGGCTCCGGGGGTCCTACACCTGATGGGGATGTAAAGGAGATGCATCCAGCCTCTCCGCAGAGGTGCTGGTGACAGGACAAGAGGCAATGGGCTCTCGCTGAGACACAGGCAATTCCATTTAAACATGAAAAAAAAAGCTTTCTTGCTGTGAGGGTGACCAAACACTGGCAGAGGTTGCCCAGAGAGGCTGTGGCATGGCATCTCCATTCGTGGAGATATTCAAACCCAACTGCACATGTTCTGAACAGGAGTTGGACCAGCTGCTCTCCAGAGCCAGCCAGTCTGTGGTTCAATTCTGTGATTTTCCTTTTTTTTTTTAAAGTACCAAATTTGTTAATCCCATGTTTGAGTTTCATCTAACCTACTGCTTCCTGGTGAAAGAGTAAGGGATGGGGAAAAACCAATCCAACAAGCCACCCTTCCCCAGAGAAAATCCTAAAAGGAGAAGGTGTATGGGATTTGCAGGATTACCTGCCAGCTACTTGGTCAAGATGCTCCAGCAGAGAGGATGAAAGAGCAAGCACATGGTAAACGAACGATGCTGTCTCCTACGGGCACTATTCATATATGCTTTGGAGAGGGCTGAGAATGCAGAACAAAGCAGGTAGTGGGCAAGGGAAGGGAAACAAAGCAGAGGCTGTACCTGCCTGCCCTTAAATCCTCCGTGGTGGGAAAACATACCTGTCCACCTGCAGTCTGCTGTGCTAGGCGCTCGGCAAGAGCGCATCATCATTGCGCCATGAGCACTGTGATTGACTCTCCCTGTACCACAATATCTTTGAGTAGTCTTTTCCTCAAATTTCATTTTCAGTTCTCATTGTGGTAAATGTAATGCGTCTGTAGGTGAATGATCACATTTTTCCTCTCAGTCCTCATTCTCACTCCTTTGGTCAAGATACAAAATCAGTGGGTTCACTGAAAGTCCTTCCTTTTGATTATGTCCACTAATTTTGTCTGAATTCAAGATGAGGAGGATCTAATACCTCCTCAGACCCCTTCTCCAGCCTGAGTGCACTAATTCTCCTTTTCTGCTTTTTTCCTCTCCAGGAAAATTGTAACAGCTCCTTTCGGCAGACAATCTAATGCTTTAAGCTATTACTCTAAAGTATCACCACGGTTTCCAATAAAATTTTATTTGACATTTAGTTAAAATCCATTTTCTGCTACAACTGAATTTTTTTCCCTAGTCCCTTGATGGACACTTCAAGCAGAATTCATTGTCATTGTCTTAAAGGTCAAAAGTTTTTTTTGGGGGTTTTTTTTTTTTTCAGATCTTGCTTTGTAAAGCAAACTGTTACTCAGGATTATGAGACACTGCAGTAAGCTGTGACAGTCCATGAAACTGTTCTTCCCTGCAATTACATGGATTTTATAAAAGTTGTGTGAGCAAACAGAAAGACCTTCACTGCAAAATCAATCACCATTGTAGAGTCCCTACAAAAGAACCAGTGCAATACCAGTCTTGCTTCCAACAGGCAGCTGGAAGCAGGGAGTATCTCCTTTCAGAAACACAAAACCCACCAGGATTTGCAGAGCCAGTAGCTCTGGGACACGGAGCGGGGATCTCCCCACCTCCGAGTGAGACAGATCCTGCTTTGCTGGCAGGGAGCCAGCTTTGGTGGCTCTGCACCAAGTCAACCAGCGTACAGATGCCTGTAATGTTAGCTAAGAGTTTCCTTTAAATATATTATGAGGAATTAAAAGTATACACGGAAATATTAAATAGAAACTATGCTTTTAGAGGTAATTTTGTTTGCAATTTTTCACCCAGGTAATTTAATTTGTTCAATAAAACCATTCTAATAAAGTATGCTGTATCATGGCATAATGGTTCAATGGTAGTTACATTAAATTAAATCTATTGCACAATGTGTTAACGTTTTTAACTTTCATGCCCACTTCTAGAGAGCCATGTGTGTTCTTGATTATTTCCTTGCTTTGGTTTTAATTGGAATTGTTTGATAAATGTCTGCAGCCTGTTAAAACAGGCTTAAAAATATACTCATGTTTAGGGTGCCTTTATTTCTACGTTCCTGTGTTACAGTAGTATTATTGTTTTCACTGATCTCAGCTGAAATCTGAAGAAGCTTTTATTTTCTAGAAGTCTAGTTAGGCACACGCTTTTTAAGGCATACAAAGGTGATGCTGTCACGCTTCTGAAAACTGAAAAAGCAAAGCCTGTTACTGGTGAGACGTTGCAGAAAGCTCCAGGTGACAGATAGTTGTACTTACCAGACGGAGAGATGTGTCTCCAAGAAATGGAAGGCTCTGGCTTCCCTGTGGCCAGGCACACCAGAGTAACATTGCTTCCTTCATTCACAACGATGTCACTCGAAATACGAAATATCTTCGGAGAAACTGGAATGAAACAAGGAGAAAGTTGTAATGGGAAGCTGCTGCATCAGTGCAATCCTGCCAGAGCACTGACACCTGAGGAGAGCTGGGATATCCATCTTGCCATTATTGATAAAAATACATTCAGCTGTTGAAATATAGCTATGCAAAAACCTTGTTTAGGCGTGACCACAGCTATTTCCATCAGGTTTGCAGAAGCTCAGCCGTGGATTGGAAATGCTATAAATAAGAAAGCAGCAATTTCCTCTATTTTGTGCAAAGCAGGTATTGTTATCGAGTTCCCAGTAAACTGCTACTGATGGATGCTCTTGTTTAAGATAAGGTTCAGCTTGCTTGTGACAGTTTGAAAAGAAGATGAAATTAAATTTTGCTTGTACTTTTAAAAATAATGATGCCTATTACATCTACTCCATGTGTACTTGGAGAGTCATATCTGTTCATGGAGAAGACTAAAATACCTTTATTTCTGTTGCTTTGTATTGCTTTTAGGCTTGCAGTAGCAACATGGCTAAGAAAAAATAAGCTAGATTTTTTTCTTTCATTTCATCAGCAGAATTCTTCACTAGACTACATTTACTGTACTATTTATACATCTGGGCATAACAGAACCAAGTTCCACATGGATGGAAAATGATGGAAAGCATTAAACGGCCCACCCTTAAGGGAATGCTTTACTTCTGGTAATGTTACACAGGGAGGAAAGGAACTCAGGGTCCCAGCAATGAAGGCAGGAATTCTGGATTTCAGAATGATTCTTTCTTTCTAAAGAAATATGTATTTCTTTACAGTCTTATTGTTACATTTGATACAGAAATCAAATCAATGCAGTAAGAAGGCATACCCTAAATGATGTTTCTGAAAAGCACTATTCTCTATATGATAAATAACAAATTTTGTACAAATATCTGTAAAAGATACAGATCTTGCATGTGGGTGTTTCAGAACCTTCTGTAATGACTGCTTTAAAATCAAAGTGCTCTGCAAGGTAAATGGGTACCAATAAAATGAGGAAAAAAAAATGTTCATCATCTTCCCTTCTCCTAACCCAAGTCTGTCCCACCAGAGCTTTACTCTCCTGAATGCTGCAGTCTTGTCTTACTGGTTTGCTCCAATTTGTCACAGCCAAAATCCCCCCATCTAAGCCCATACATACACCTTTGCAACCGGGAATACATTGTTAGCATCCCTTCAACGTACATTGAAAGTACAGAGCTTTTTCATATGCACAGACTGGTTTTGTGTGCTTTGGGATCTCCACCTGCAGATGTTCTCCAGCCCTTTCCCCAGTCCAGTGACGGGAAGTATTTCAGTAGTAGAAATGAGTTGGGGTCAGGCAGACTTAAAAAAGCTGGAAATTCTCAGTGCTTGCTTGCGGCTATGCATTTGTAAGCAAAGAAAATTAAAAGTCTATGTAGAGGCTTTTTTTAATTAGCAGAGAAACTTTGTCTTTAGGGAAAACGAAGGTCTGGGGAAGGCTGAACCCTCCTCAATTCTTAAAGCAGTGAAGGTCAGTATTACCTGCCTTTGAAGTTCAAGCAGGTTTACACAATCACTTGAACAGAGATATACTTCTGAATTGGCCATAGTCTAACTCGCAAAGGTGACAATCCACTCTTCCCTACCTCACTTGATGACCTGAAAAAGCATGCAGTCATTACAGACAATTTTGGGGAGCTGAAACATACAGAAGAGTTAGTTCCACGTAAAGGGTTAATTTATTAATCAAATTTCTTCGCAAATCCCTGCAACGAACCCGTTACTCAACCTCCTCCTGCAGAAGTCTCTCCCATCCTAAAGGAGACTGTGAACAGCCGTCACCGACACACCGTCACCCCACGCCAGCTGTGCCGGGACGTGACCCTTCCTCGGGGTCCCCCGTGCCCTGATACAGGGCATTGTTAATACAGGTCTCCCCCACTCCCCTGTCTCAGGCCAAGTTAAATATCATTAATGTTTCAGCTCATCAATAGAGAAAACATTGAAAGGAATTCTTATTTATGTGTACAGAGTATGAAAAATAAAGCTACTTCCTAAAGGCAGCTGGTGAAGGATCATTCTAGCTGAAATGTAGAAATCCATCTGAGAGCAGGATATCATGAGTAATGGGGCATATGCAGTGCCTTTATTCAGTCCACAATATTTTAAAAATATCTTCCTAAATCTGAGCCACTTATTTCTTTATCCTTCAAGAATGAATGCACTTCCAGAAAGTCAAGTAAAGGAATCAAATAAATCAGTTCTTCTCACAAGTAAATGTATACAACTGACTGACGCAGTATCTGTTTGGAACTGTGGAAATATCTTCCAGATTAAGTAGATGTTACAGTGTAAGACTTCCCACAGCATTAAACTTCTTATTTGAGGTTCTGCACCTTTGAAGGTAGAAAAAGAGAGAGATTTGCTCATGTTCTACCATCACTGAAGCAGTACCATAGAGGGATTTTTCACACCTGACACCTAATGCTATTTATCCAGGTGATTTTTATTTGCCTTAACTTGTCACTAAGCATAAAGGAGGTGGCTGGAGCCTGCTGTGCTGCCACAATGGCACTGGGTGGCCAGTACAAACAAAAGCAAGCTAAAGGCTGTCTCCTGGGGCTCAGGCTGTGGCAGGGTCGGGATTAGGTTTAGTCCAGTCTCTTCCCTGCATCCATCACCACAAAATGGGTGGGTGAAATAGCTGCTCACTGTTCAGTATACTGATTTAACCAGTGTCACTGATAAAACCAGATTAGAAATACGATAACGTTAATTTCAGTGGGAACGAGGAGCTCTTGGCACGCTCTATTGCTGGTCCTGCTCAACTACTGTAGGTCCTGTGAGCCAAGTGGCATGAGGATCCAGCAGAAAAGCTGGCTCACACAAGCAATTATAATCAAATCGCCCAAAATACAAATTTCCAAAGAAAATACACTGATAGTCGTGCCACAGGCAAGAATCTAGAACTGAAGTAATAGGATTTAATTCCGTTCACACAGACGAGTAAGATTTCTTTTCCAAGACAAAGATCAACACGGTCTACTCTGCGGCTTAAAGCAAGCGTTGTCTTCATCCTCCTGTGCCTTTCCTCCTAAGGTTTTACTTGTTCTTTATCACTCACCTCCTTTTCAAGTGTTCTCTTCTCACAAAAAGCAGCGTATTTCCCTAATGCTCAGGCTCCCAGCCCTGGATTTCCTCTGGCACTCCAGCTCTTTCCCTCTCCTCCTGGTTTTAGGATAGCCACTGACTTTGGCTGTCAGTGTCACCTTCTTTGTTGTAGGTTTTGCCTACCGTGTTCAAACCCCAAATCTAAAGTATTTTGTCAAATATTTTAATTTTGATAAACCCCATATGTTCTAATGGCAAACAATTTGAAAATCTTTCCCTGGTGATTCTACATGTAAGCCATGATTATGGAGCACAGAGTTTGATATGAACAAAATTCAACTGTATTAACATATTTGTGGAATATGTGGCCAGAGGGGTCACTAGGATAATTTAGTCTGAGCTCAGATAGTCACAGGCTCTAGAAATTTTCCCAGAAGCCTGACTAAAGTATATGTTTTAGAAAGCTGTCTAGTCTTATCCTGGCAATTCCAGGTGATGCTCACACTGCCACATCTGGTAAGCACTTTCAGTGACTAAATACCCCCTCGCTGCCGGGAAATAGCATCTTAGTTCAAAATTGCATTCCACTAAATTCAGCTTCCAGAAATCAGATCTTATTATGTTTTTGTCTGCAAGACTGAACATCCCCCTTACTATCAAGTAGCTTTCCTATGACTAAGGACCTGTACAACATGATAAATCACCTCTTCATCTTTCTCTGCGGATGATCTGAGCACCACAAGCTTAATTTTTGTAAGGCTTCCTAGATAATATTTGTGCCTCTCTTTTGAGGAATACCTGAATCATCCCGAAATGTGAACAGTGGAACAGGGCATAACAGCCTAGCAAGAGCCTTACCAACACTGCGTATCGAGATAAACCCAGTACTTTATCTCAGCTTTATTTCCTCTTTCCCTCTGCAGTTATTATCACCTGGACCATTATTCCTATTATCCCCCCAGCTCCTGCCGTGGCCAGCTGTGGAGGGAGGGAGGGGGCAGGAGGCACTGCAGGGATGAGGATGGCTTGCTGCACGGGTCTCCTGCATGGGTAAAAATACCAGTTATGTACGCTACTACAACAGTGTAAATACCCAGAGGCTCCTCCTGGTCCCATTGCACGTCCACCTGTGAGCAGTACTACGGGAACCTCCTCTTAATTTCCTCTTCAAAATTGCGTATCTTGTAGGTAGAAACTGGTGTCCCGGCCGGAGGAGGGAGAGGGGCGGCGTCTCCGGGGCTGTGCCGCAGCAGGGACCTGCCTGCTCCGTCTAACAGCATCCCCTGTTCTACCTTGGGGCAGCTCTGCTCAGGCTTTCCCAAACCCAGCTTCCCCGCCGGTGGCTGACAAAGCCCTGCTGCTTCTCCTGGCTGGGTGGAGGAGCTGCTTTGTCTCACCAGATCCGCCATCCCTGAAGCCTGACTGGTTGATACTAATAGGAATTGAGTCTCTGGCTCCTACTTCTTCCTGGACTCCAGAATTATGTGTGCCATTATTTCGCAGGGGATTGACACTGAATCTATAGATCATTGCAGGGTCTCATTTCTCATTTTCAAGGACTGGAGTTGTATTCTTAGTTACATTTGTGTGCACATAAATGATGCAGCATAATAAAGCTTACTAGTGTAGTCGGAATGACTCTAGGGCTGCTTTTTTAGTTGCTGTTGCTTTTTTGAATGTGGGAAAGGATGCCTTATTTTCATCACAATTTAGAATTATCAGGTAAAAGGTCTGGGGCCTCAGCATAAGTGCACCCATCTTGCTTCTTAAAATGTGCACTGCCTTACTGTCTCCCCCTGTTGAAATATCCACTCAAAGTCTATGTAGTATCAAGATTACAACACATGTGGCTGGGCATACAGCTCTGTTTCTTCTGAAGGTTTGCCCAGATAAAGGTGATGACAAGTTATGAACTA